ATTTGGTTGCACCGGCCAAAATATTGAAATCTCACTTTTAACGAAAAAAAACGAGCCGGTTATGCCGAATGCACAAAATTGACAGTCTCTTAAAATATGACAGCAAAATGACTGGGTTCGGCCTTCGGGCTTTTGAAAACTGTCCGGCTCAGGTCGGGCTCCGGCCGAATTCTGCCGGGTTGAGTCTCACTTTTACAGCTCTAATCGGAATGACCGCAATCTCGGGGTGCCATCCACAGAAAAGCGTTAAATATATGCAAATATTTGAAATAATTGAATATTATTCATAATGTAATTCTTCAGAATATTTAAATCAATGTACAATTGATGAAGACGCAGAGACTATGATTTGTCACGAAAATGTCAACGCGCAAATCTGCGTAAGAGTGGTTTTCACTGTGCATAGATTCTGTTCTTTCCTAAGAACAAATTCCAGATAAGTAAACATTGGTGAATGTCAGAATCTTCGTGGAAACTGCGTAAGTGGGGTTTAAGAACGAATTTCTTCTTAAGAACGGTTGAAGAATATGGCCCATTGTCTGTAAAGGATTCATGACAAAGCATTGATAATGCTTAATGGATGATTGTGTTAACTTGTCCAATTTCATTTAAGCCCCTAAAATAAGGGGACAGTGTTCGAAAATGATTGCTATTCCAAAACGTTTCGTATGATATTTTTGTTCAACCCCTTGAACTTAGCTGAAAGTTTGCACTTCGATTCCATCTTGGTTGTTTCATTTCTAATCCATTGTTGTGATGTACAGAGTAGTCGGAAAATTCTCCAATTATTTTTGGAATAACCTGATACGTTATTATAGTATTTAGTAGTATTGTATAGTTTATTAGTTTATTAAAATCGGTTGACTTCGATTAATACACGGTACTGCGTGATGCCATGTCTTCATTGGTTTAGCTTCTTCTGCTGTAGATCTTAAAAAAAATCATTACACATTTTTCTTTTCAAATGGCAGTTTTTACAAAAAGTGAATTATCACATTTGAACATGAAACATTGACACTTGTGAAAGACGGCTGTTGCAAATTCAGACAGTACTTAAGGGCTTTGCTTGTAAAAAAAAGAAACAGCACAGTTCAGTTTTGAATACCTCTGAGTGCCATTGACAAGTCTAGTTATGTAACACAAAGGTATGAGATATGTTAAGTGTAATTCTTATTTCCTTCATGTCTGATGCATATTTGTTAAGAGACAAAATCTGAGCCATAAATAAAAAACATTTGCTAAGACGTTTCTGAAAAAACTATTGGTCAAAAGCGTACCCTTTTTACTATGTAGTGCACTTCATAGTAAAAACCAAACCAAAACCAATGTAGTCAACAGAGGAGGATTGCAAAGAAAGTAGAGATTTGAAATGTAGCAAACATTCTTCTAAAAATAATAGTTTTTTCCATTTAAAGGTATTCTCAAATAGTTGCTGTAATATTATGCAAATGTATCATTTCTTGACGGTATTTAACTTAACACTGTGCTGCCAAAAAAATAGCATACCAAATCTCTATATGGCTTGTAACTGCTTTTCCCCAACATCACCTAAACCTGCCAGAGGGGAACTCAAGAGTGCTGTGTGAAGGAAATGTGTCAGTGTGAACTTGTGAATGTGTGTGGGATTGGATTGCTCTATGTATGTTTTAGTTTGCATTGACCCTGGCTGATATGCACAAGTCAAAGTGTGTGAAAGTAAAAGGTTTCTTGGCAAAAATGAAACAAAAAACAGTAGATTATTTACATATCAACACATTTCTTTAACTGAAATTATTATTTTAGGCTTTAAAACATTTCAATTCACATTTGCCAGAGTTAGCATTGACATTAGTTACCGAAGGGCTATCCAAGATAGCAATGAGTATTTGTCAGACAGATGGCCCTCCGTAGGCACTGAGGACCGCATGCTAGCATAAACACATATTGTTCTATTGACAGAGTGCCTGAGGCAGATGCATTTACATAGCATTTGAAAAAGGAAACGTTCATGCCTTGCAAAAAAGTCCAAGTATCATTGAAACACAATTGAACACAACGTAGCATTATCAACAGCTGGCTATCTGGCTATAATACCATGCAGACTGGTAGTAGGGAATGGGATAGGAGCGTGTGTGACCAGTAACTTCTCTCTAACATTGCAGACTGCAGAGATAGCTAGAAAGCTTGGTAGGGGGCTGCTGTTTCACTTGACATTAGAACAAACAAGGCACTGAGCTAGTGTCTAGAAGCTAAATTCCTGTAGATGTTTTAATGAAGCTAAAGGAGATGACTAAATTGTTTCCCCAACTGCCTACGGGTTAGGGAAGCTTCTCCAATTAAATAGCCTATTAGTCCAATTAATATGTTAGGCCAGAAACTGAAGGGATCATTACTGTTACTTTAACATATTCAAATAGCCAGTTTTCTTTGTGAGCCACACATCTAGTATTTGATTTAAAAAAAGATGTCCAGCCCACCCTATCGCACCTCCATGCCTGTCCAAAAATATTTTTTTAGCAAGAGAAACTTCCATTTCGATATGTTCTGCAAACTTATGAGAATCTCTCTAAAAGATTATACCATGTCAAACTCATTGTTGCCAGGCAGGTTTAGATACTGAGCCTGCATAATGGAAGGCAGTATGCCATTTCCCAGTTAAGTTTTTCATACACAACCAAATTACAGTTGGTTGATACACAGAAAACCGCTCATACATAAAATGGTGTGCCTGAAAATCAAATTCCTGCCCACTGATTATGTCGGAGTGAAGGCGAGGGGTACACATGGTTCAGCTGTTGGATCATTGAACAATTGGGGTGTGGTCAGAGAATTCAACCTGCACAGCAGTGTATGCAGTTTTTTATGTGAAAAATAAATGTAGGTACATTTGAATAACATATGGTGTTGTCTAAGTAAAATAAAAGTTTTTCACATCCACTAATATCAAATCTTTCTGTGGGGTAGGGTTCAGAAACATCCCTGTAACTGTCTCGGGAGAGTGTATAAACGGAAATAACAGAACTGTCGGCTTAAGGTCCATGGCACCCTTCACATTCGCCAACATGAGCTACAAATTTAAATACCTTAGAAATGACCATTCAGTCTCTAATCACCTCTACATATATGACAGTCCATATAAGTGATGTCAGATTCCTAATTCATTTTTATATAGTATACAGTATTCAATGATTGCTGTTCAAACAACAGCCACCCAGTGAATAGAGAAGCATTAGAATAGAGAAGATGTATGATCTAAGTGAATAACCGTGGCACAACTGTTGGTGTCAGATTTGATGGTTCCGGTATTTCAGTATGTCCAGTATCTCTAGAGTTTACTGTGAAAAGTGTGATAAATAACGCCCAGTGAGCGGGCAAAATAATCTTGTTAATTTGAGGTCAGACTTGTTTGAGATGGCAGAAAGCCACAAACAGTCAAACAGCCGCAAACAGGAAAAAAAACTCCTAGCAATAGTGGCATGCATTTCTGATCGCACAATGTATTGAACCTTGAAGAAGAAGGAACCATAAGCAGCTACAACCTGACACTAGATTGCCATTCCCAATAAAGACTGAACAACAAGGTGAAAGCTTAATGTTTGACTCCCTTCCAAGATGAAAGCTAAATAAATTGGATTTTGAAGCAAACTTCCAAATCCCTCCTGGAGATGTCCTGGCTCAGTATGGCCCTCAGCAACTCGAGGTCATACTACCTATACGGCAAAATATAACAATTAATCACTGCCACATTTGAGTCATTTAGGAAAGAAATACAGCAAACATGAGTGCATTAATGTTGCACTGTATTCTGTGGAAAAATAAAATGCTTTGCACGCGGAATACCTTTTCTAAAATCAGATAACAAAATATGTTCTTGCAATAGGGCAAGATAATGTTGACCAAGATAAATGGATATGTACTCTAAACGAACTATATCATCATGTGTTACTGACTGTACAATCATGTACAGACCTAAAGAATAACATAGGATATATAAATCATCTGGATATGATTGTAGATCTGATTGTCGTATTCATTCACGTAAAATAAATAATATTTGAATTTAATTTCTCAGGATGATACAGGCAGTGTAACGGGAAACACGTACAGGGTATAGATTCTAGATTTGTCCATCACAACTGGCTGGTAACAGGTTATTCAGATCTTACATTCAGTTGTTACCTATCCCAAATTTAAATAAGCATTAAATAAATATATTGTACATACCGGTACCTGCTTCAATAATATCAGCTGACAGGGTATGTGTCTTGAAAATCCTTAAACATTTAAAAAGCCTGACAAATCAGCTTCTTTTATCCATTACCTAACCTTTCTTAATCATTATCTCAACTTTCATTCATTCCTTTAAAAATATTCCCTCTTATATTTGAGGAGTAATGTCATCCTATTTAATCTACATAATTTAAGAAAAATCTATAATGTATTTTTATCCGTTTAGAATTTGTAGAGCTGATGCCTAGTTTTTCTATTAATTTATTGATTTTATTTTGGGACATTTTGAATCATCAAAATCATAAACACCTTATCCTGGGTGTGAAACTTTATTACATAAAATCTGAAATTACATAAAAAAATTGCTGCTTTCTATAAATTCCTTGCTGACTATGACTATACTGTGGGTGGCAGTCTGGATTGTGACAACCTGCAGAAATATAAAAGCATCCCTGCGGAAGTTGAATAACTGGCGTATAACCGGCATGAGGTGTGAACGACTTCTTTGGTGGCAAATGTAAGTCCCCTCTAGCTGCATGTATCCATAGCCTTGGGCATAGGGATGCTGGAAAATCACAAAGGTGGAATACATTTTTTGATATCCGCGATGTTTCACTTATAAAATTCCACAGTAATTGTTTTTTTATCATGAGCACACACTTTCTTGGCAGTTGTTTAGTGTTGACATTAGTTATAGTGCATCCTGAAAGTAATGTAAATCTTCTTGTGAAAGTAAATCTTTACTGTCTGCTTAGGGCCGTTGTCATGTTGGAAGATTTCCAACGTCGACCTGGGTAGAAGCTAGAGATTGAACGCAGAACCACATACATACAAAGCATGCACTCTACCATTGAGCTACCAACCCCTCCTGGTCTGAGGTCCAGAGCAGGTTTTCATCAGGGATGTCTATGTACATATTTCCTTCGATTCTGACTAGTCTTCCAGTTCCTGATGCTGAAAAACAACCCCACAGCATGATGCTACCACCACCCTGCTTCACTGTAGGGATGGTATTGGCTAGGTGATGAATGGTGCCTGGTTTCCTCCAGACATGGCGTTTGGCATTCAGGCCAAAGAGTTTAATATTTGTTTCATCAGACCAGAGAAGGTTGTTTCTCATGGTCTGAGAGACCTTCAGGTGCCTTTTGACAAACTCCAGGCAGGCTGTCATGGGCATTTTACCGAGAAATAGCTTCCGTCTGGCCACTCTACCATACAGGCTGGTGGAGTGCTGCAGTGAAGGTGTCCTTCTGGAAGCTTCTCTCTTCACAGAGCAATGCAGGAGCTCATTCAGAGTGACCATCTGGTTCTTGGACACCTCCATGACTAAGGCCCTTCTCCCCGATCGCTCAGTCTGTCCATGCGGCCAACTCAAGGAAGAGTCCTGATGGTTCCAAACATCTTCTATTTACGGATGATGGAGGCCACTGTGCTCATCGGGACCTTCAATGCTGCTGAAATGTTGTTCCCTTTCCCAGGACAATTCCTTGGACTTCATAGCTTGGTTTGTGCTCTGACATGCACTGTCAACTGCGGGACCTTATATAGACAGGTGTGTGCTTTTTCAAGTCATGTCCAATCAACTGAATTTACCACAGGGGAACTCCAATTAAGTTGTAGAATCATCTCAAGGATGATCAGTGGAATCAGTATGCACCTGAGCTCAATGTTGAGTGTCATGGCAACGGCTGTGCATACTTATGTAATGTTTTTTTTAAATCTCTTTTTAATAGATTTGGAATGGCTTCAAACGAACGTCGCATTATCATTATGGGGTAGTGTGTGTAGTATTTAGAGGAAAAAAATAATTTAATTCATTTTGCAATAAGGAGGCTGCAACTAAAGAAAATGCGGTGAAAGTGAACCACTGTGAATACTTTCCAGATGCACTGTATATAAAAGGCAAACCATAGTGTTTCCCCCCTACATCTGAAATGTGCTACTGCATATGTCTCACCTGTCAGTAACAGATAATTGGGATGAATACATGTTTGACATGTTGAGGGCAATTTATATTCAAGTCCATGTAATTCCTCTATAATTTTGATACAAACATTTGTTATACGAGGAGTTCGATGACATTTAGTAGACACTTTAGCTCAGGGTGTTTACTGAAGAATGTGGCATATCTAAGCACATTAATAGGCCTAAATAGTGTGAAAGACTAGCCAAAACATTAATACTATTTCTTACCCAGCAAAAGAAAACTCTTAAGGGGAGTGTATCCCAACATCACTTGGAAAAAGAAAAAAACATACTAGACAGTGGCAGTTTTAATAAACGATTAATCCATCTATTGCTTTAAGGCCAGAGGCATTGGCAGAGCTGTGAACTATGTTTTGTATCAGCAGACAAATTTGTGTACAAAGAGTTCCATTGCAATTACAATAGAGTTTACAGTATGCACAATTTTAAGCTGGGAGTTCATAACATTGAGCAGTAGCCTTCTATCTTGATTGAGCACACAGGTGCCCAAGAAGCCACAAGGAGTCTCTAGAGCGCAGCAAGACAAGGCAGCCATATTTGGTTAAATTGTAATTAAAATTGCCCTCTGCCGAACCCCGTGGGGCTAAGACTCAAATAGTTTTGACAACAATAAATTCAAGATGCAGTGCACAGTTTTTAGTGAATTATTGCAAAGGTAGCATTGTCAAGCCAAAAGGATCTCTGAAAATTGTTAACAATATACTTGCCAATTTGCGCCCTAATGCCATCACAACTGTTCATGTTTGAAATGCCACTAAATAACAAAAAGGCATGTACTAAATAGTGTTTACAGTATAACTACTATATGTTGTTAATTTAAAATAGTTGGTAAGGAATATCTTGGACCCGGCCAGTATAGTTGTAGGTGGTATAACTAATCCCCAAAAGGAGAGATACCAATGAGTTAACAAGATTATGTGCCTGAAGCACTGGTGGCTTGTGAGAAGAGTGGTGCTCTCAGAAATGGCACAAATTGAAGAAACTATATTTACATATAAAATATGTGTTATGATGATGATCCAATAAATATTTCAAATGTTCAATTTCAAACCAAGTTCCTCGTATGTGTAAACCTACTTGGCAATAAGAGCTGATTCTGATATGTTCCAGTCATTACGGAGTCATCTTCCAATTTAAAGTATCACCAGTCCCCAAGTGTTTGACTGAAGCTCTTACCTTTCTAAGAATGAGTATCCCCTCCTGGTTGTGTTCGTTGGTGACGATGTCAAAGATGTTGCCTCCATCCCCCGGTACAATGTTGTACTCTACTTCCGCATTCTTCCCTATGTCCAAGTCGTGAGCTTTGATCCGACCCACAGCCGAACCAACTGCAGAGGACTCCGGTACTCTCAAGTGGAAGAAACCTTTTAAACAAAAAGAAACACAGTCATCTGTCTAGTTTGTTTACAAGGGAATGCACTTCCTGTGTGTCTCTGAATGGTTTGGAAGCACGCTACAGAGCAACAACTGCCACTTCAACGACTGAGTGAATTGAATGAAAAAGAGAAAGGGAAAGACAGGAGGGAGAGAAGGTTGAAGAGAGATATTTAGTGAAGGAGAAAGGAAGAGCAGTAGACATTAAGAAGTGACAGACAACTTTACAGCACTGTATAAATATCTTTCTGTTTTTTTATGGAGTGGAGTGACTGTCTGTATTTACCTTCTAAGCAGGCTTCAAAGACATTTCCCTGACTGCTAAGGTACTCTGAGGACTGGGCCGAATATTCACACTCGTCACGGTTGCATGGTTGAACCAATTCTTTATATCTTCATATTCAATTACAGGGGTTTTAAAGTATGTTTAGTTTGATGCGGCAAGACATAAAAAAGAAAGGCAAAAATAAAATGTGTAGAAATGCAAATAGCATAGGCGTAGAGTATTATAATCAATAATTCATCAAACAAAAAGGACATTATTTAAATAGAATAGTTTTTACTTTTTTACAATTGGCTTTTACCTTTCTACACAACATGTTACTAACACGAAGGCTAAGCTCAATCTCCCTCTCTTACTTTTAGAGAACCTTGGTGGGTTGTCATTGACGTCACTGAGGGTGATGTTGACAGTAGTGGTCCCAGCCAGACCTCCTAGCTGCCCTCCCATGTCCTTGGCCTGGATTAGCACCTGGTACTGTTCCTTCACCTCGCGGTCCATGTTCGGCAGGGCGGTCCGTATTATACCTTATGGCAAATTGGAATCGTAACAGGTCAGGAGAACAGCTGACATATCGGCACGTTTATGTCAGACTATATGCGCAGGACAAATGGGGGCTGTGTGGGGAGTAGATCACTGAGAGGGACAAGGTGAACGTTAATGTGTATTCAGAAGGAAGGCTGCAGCACAATGTCCCCTTGTTACACTATGGGGTTCAAACGTACCAATTACCAGCCATGAAGCAGCCCCCTCAGAAAGGGCCTATTCTTAGAGGTGCATTAATGACGAACCTGAAGTCAAGGTTGAGATATATCGAAACAGAGGTAATTTCAGCACGCGGAGACACTTGACATACTGAACTTAGGGTGGCACTATAATGACTCGCCAGAGGATCCGAAGGACATTGAAATCAAAGCGAATATACTGCCGAGTGATGGCCGGGTCAACCTGCAGGGTGCCGGCGTGATAGAAGGGATGGAGAAGGAACAAGATGTATGTTTCCTCTCCTCGCAGTCTCCCATCTATAATATGAAACGAATGGATGTCACATTAGATCCTCAAATCCTTTGTCCTGAGTGCAACATATTGTGTTTGGGGACGTTGGGAATTGCATGGGGATTGAAGCACATGCCCATCTCTCTTGTCCCCTCTTTATAATCCCTCACTCACTCCGACTTGTTTGGCTGAACTGATATATGTGTGGCTGTGGCAAAGGGCTCAGAATGTCAAACATTTGTTTTTAGCAGTTACATTTATCCACTTTTTGCGGTTTACCTCTCCAGTGTGCGGAGACAACTGGAAACGGTAGATTATCGATATCTACAATGTTTTAATTTTCAAAGGTTTATTTTATAGGGAAACCAGAATAATTGTCAGAAATATTTAAACTCCTGAGTTTAGATCAGCAGATCAAAGGAGGAAGCATAGTGTATCTTTCTATTAAATCTAAGTGATGTCAATTGTAATTGTAATTGGTGATGTCTTGTAACAATTGTAATAGTCAAAAAATGGTCTACACATTTAACTTTCACAGAGGAAGTTTAGTTTATGTGTTTTGTGCCAGTGAATTTAACCCTGAGCAAATACTGTGCCAATTTAAGGAATCTCTTCCATTCAAAGAGGGAATTAAACAAATATACTTTAATCTCATGTGAATTAGCAGACACGGGACAGAGATGAGCAAAAATGGAAAAACACAAAACTACAGATGGCCAGTATAATTTATTGTTAGCAATATCTAATTGAAAGTAAACAGGGCCATTTGCCATGTATGGCCTCGTTCCATTAAAAAATGTTTTTGTCCCTTTTGCAATTTTAGGATGCACAGAGTTGGTCAAAACGTGTTGAACCTTGCATTTACAAATGTGCTTGTGGCAGGTGAGCACATTTCTGTGAGAGACGTTGAGCCATAAACTAGTACCACGACGCACTATTTAAAAGTAGTCAGTTGAGTAGTTCGTGAAACTGGCAAAGAAGTCCTATAGTGAACATGGCCTATCTTGAAGGGCTGACGTAGTTTTACAGAGTATAAACCGTCACAAAATGTTCTTTAGACAGATGGTGTGTGCATAGAAAGACGTTTATTATTAGCATATTCAATAGACTACATCTGTTGGTAGCCTGCTCGATGGAAATTCTAATTGAAAAATATATTGCACGATGTCCCTGCTGTTAATCTACCTACCTAATACTGTAGAGCAACAACAAAACAACATGCTTCTCAT